CAAGACGATGGCTAGCTACTTTAGATCGACAGTGTGAGAGGCTTGCAAGTGTCATGGCTGCTAACATTCCACTGTTGATGTTGGGGGTAATGATAGTACTACAAATATTAAATTCCAGTTGTTAATCTTCTCCAATTCTGATGTTGAAATATTTTGAAATTTGGTCAGTCATAACAAATCAAGATGGGAAAAAGAGTATGCTGAAGTTAGCTGAGCGAATGGTAATAAGTTTCTGTGCTGGAGTAGGTGCCTCTACAGCTCACACATGGACAACATTATCCGGAACTGGGGCTGATGATGTAAGGGTCATGACCAGAAAGAGCGTAGACGATCCAGGTAGGCCTCCTGGGATTGTGCTAAGTGCTGCAACTTCCTTTTGGCTTCCTGTTTCACCAAAGAAGGTATTCGATTTCCTCCGAGATGAAACTTCTCGAAGTGAGGTATGTCAAAGCTTTTAAACAACTGTATTATGATGGCTGAAATTTAACTTATCAATTGATCAAAGCCTCTAGACTTTTGTGATGTCTTTAGTGTTTAATATTGTCAAATGAAAAAATCATCCTACAACTTGGTCTTTCCTAAATACAGTGGGATATTCTTTCAAATGGTGGAGTTGTCCAAGAAATGGCACATATTGTTAATGGTCGGGATACAGGCAATTGTGTTTCACTACTTCAAGTAAATGTAAGTAGCGCAAACCAACGTGATTTTGTTGATTTATCAAAATTGTGGGTGTTTATGAAATAAATTTGTACAGAGTACAAATTCAAGCCAAAGCAACATGCTAATTTTACAAGAGAGTTGCACTGATCCGACGGCCTCTTTTGTAATCTATGCTCCTGTTGATATTGCTGCAATGAATGTAGTCCTAATTGGAGGTGACCCGGACTATGTGGCCCTTCTTCCCTCAGGTTTTGCTATTCTGCCCGATGGAACTACATCGAGTGTAGGAGGCTTTGCTGATAACGGGTCTGGTGGATCTCTTCTAACTGTTGCATTTCAGATTTTGGTTGACTCTGTTCCTACCGCAAAACTTTCTCTTGGATCGGTTGCAACAGTTAACAATTTGATCACATGCACCGTTGAAAGGATAAAGGCTTCTCTCTCATTTGAAAACGCATGAACTGCCACAGCTTTATGTAGCTAGTCAGGTATGTTAACACAAACTTTGAAGTTTTTACACCCACCAACAAGAGGTTGGCTCAATTGATAGGATCGTTCTCCTTGAGGTGAATGGTTTTGAGTTCGAGTCCAGCTAATAACTTCTTGTTTGAGTCATCTTTGAATACACGATTTATAATCATTATTTTTTAAGTTATCAGATATAACACATTTTATTTCGGATTTTGACACTCCAAAAGAAGTTTAACACCTTTTTTTCTTAATTTGGAGTAAAGAGATTTGAATCTGAACGAAAATACATGCATTTATCGTTGAATCAAATAAAACGGTATTGTGCGAGGTTAACACGTCTTTCTTTTTCATTGAATCATTTTAGCCATTCCTAAGCATTTTTTTCCATGAATTGGAGATTATTTCATATATCTATTTCCCAAATAGATTTCAAGATATTGATCATCTAACATTGCCCCTATTTTGTTTGATGCAGTGACTAACAGAAGGAGGAAAAAGGGAAGGCAATTAAATTTAAGAACAATGGTGATGATGAATTCTGGAACCATAGACGATGGGGTGAAGTCAAGAGCGCACCTTGCATGATCCTCTTTGACATGTTGGTCTTTGTTTGGGGACCAAGAAAATTAACTGGCCCAAGCAAAAATTCATCAAGCGTTCAAGAGTTAGAGGTTCGGGAATTGACTTCCCCAATAAATTTTTTAAAAAAAAAAACCAAAGTGAATGCAAAGAACTTTATAGAGAGCTTTGTTGTAAAATGGTTTTAGCTTTATGTTTAGGGTTTTAGAGTTTTGTACAAGTAATGTGATTTTAGTTCTTTTTTTTCCTTCTTCCCTTTGAATGCATTTCTATGGAGAAATTTAAAATTTTAAAAAAATTCGAAATGGAAGTATTTTAAAATTATAATAATTTTGTTTGTAAAAATATATTTTAGAAGGAAATTTAATTTATTGAAACTAATTTAATGAGATAAAAAATAATATTATTAAATATATATGTATAAATAAAATATGCAATACGAGTATTATTATATCTGTAAAAATTGACTATATGACACTTAGGTGAACATATACACATAATTTGAAATAAATTTAAAAGATTGTAAATGAAACAAATAAAAATTTTTAACTTACAAATAAAAATAAAATAGTACAAAAAATAATGGACTAACAAGGCAATTTACTTTAAATATACATTTATAAGAACCATGAAAATATTTAGTATGAAAGAAGATTCCTAATCCCATCCTTGATATGTGTGGTCTGTGGATCAGATGTTGGGATCATATGAATGTATATTAATGTTCTCAACACATAAATGCAAAGATGTCATAGGGTTTTTTTTTTGTTGTATGCCTACTATAAGAAAAGGAACATGATTTTATGTTGTTTGATGTATAATTCCCTATTGCCATAAAGAGAACTCTCTTAAACATTAATTTCATGTTTTTCCTTTTGTTTTGCTCTATTCATTAATCCCTTTAACTAAGTATGTAACTATACACTGCTCTCCTAAATTACTCAGATTTAATTCGATCAAAACTCAAATTTAATTTATTTATTATTGAGTGAAGTTCAAATTTGAATAACTCAACTTATTGAATGAGTCGTATTTGAATATTTTAATGTCGACTTAAGTAGTTCGCAAACTTAAATTTTTAAATATATTTATCATTTTATTTTGAAAAAATATTATTTACCCATATATATATATATATATATATATCAATTCGAGTTCAAATTCGAGCTCAAACTCAAATATCGAACACAAAATCAAAACTTTAAATTTAAATATAAAAATTAAATTTATTTTATTAAACAAATTTAATCGAACAAGCTCGAATCATTTAATTTTTATTTCAAATCGAACTCAAACTTTTTACTGTATTAATTGGATTCAACTCGAATAAACTTTTATTTTCTTAACTTGTTAAAGTGTTGTAAGTTTTGCACACAATTCTTTAATTATCGTAATAAAATTAATCAATTATAATCATAATTATATAAAATATATCAAAACTCATATTTATAAGTGATAAACTCCTATATAGTCTTTAATATGATTGAATTATTATAATATTATTGTAAAAAAATTATGAATGAAATGCCTTTTCTTATGTAATACATGTACCATTGAGCTATTGACCATTGTTTTGGAATGTACTATTTTCTTCTAACGATTGTTCTTAAATTAAATGCACTAATCAGGAAATAATCATTAGAACTCATAATCAGGAAATAATAAACAAACAAAAACATTAAAATATGACAAGGATTACAAAAATTCCAGAAGATGTTTTGTATTAATCTCACTCAAGCCTTCTTCTTCCTAGCTAGTGCAGGTCCTTGGCCAATGTTTGAGCCTCGCCAGATTGTGGAACCAGCCCTCGCAAGCAAGGCCAAAACACCAAGCGCCATGAAAGGGGAGTACATCTTCAACAATTTATCTTGACCCCTTCCCAGATCCCACGAGCTCCCCCAATAAAGCAGTCTGAATTTGGCACAAAATTAACAAATTAAGCATAAAATATTTAAGTGACAAAAAAGATTAAAATTTTGATTTTGAAATTTACCATGGCGGTAATGACAGAGGCACCATAGATGAGGCAAGTGGTGTTGAACCAAGGCTTGGATGCCAGAATTCCATAAATGTTAAGTAAAACGAGAGGCCACTGGAAAACCAGCTCCAGCCAGACCAGGGCCACAAAGAAATGGGGCTTTTCCACCACCAAATAATCTTGGTATTCCTCGGCGTATCGTTGCTTCAGATGGATGAGCAAGTCCGGGAAGGTGGTCTCTGGCAAAACCAATTGCGCGTCGATTAAAGGCCCCGCTAACAACATCACCACAAACGCCACTAACAGCAGCGTATCAACCACCTTGCATAGCATTCCCATTTCTTTCAAATTGGGCTCTGTTTCTAGGAAGAAGAAAAATGGGGATTTTGGATCTCAGTTTCTGAAATGTTTACGAGGTTTGAAATGGTCGACTGCACGCTGCTTTAGATTTGTGCTCACTGCCCCCTGTCCCCTGTCCCCCGATAATCTTTAAAGCTGATGCAAAGGTTTTGTGAATTGTTACTTTTGTCCTTGTCACTTTTTCTTATTTACAAAGCGGCCACTTTCTTCGAATCATTCCATGTGTAAAATAAAAGTATAAATGATATATTAATATTAGTAAATTATTTGAATTCGAGTTAAATAAAATTTAAATTTGATTTAATTATTTTTTTATTTAGTTCAAGTCGATCAATTTATCAATTAAGTTGAATTTAAATATTTTTATATTCGATTCGAATAGTTCGTGAATATAATCAAAATTTAATATTTTAATTATTTTAATTAATAAAAAATTTCGAATTTAAATTCGAGTTTAAGTTCAAACACAAATAATTAAATTTTTATCAAATATAAAAATTAAATTTATTTTTATACATTAATCGAACTTAATCTAATGAACTTAAATAATTTGATGTTTATCTTGAATCGAATTTAAATTGAAAAAATAAAATTCGATCAAATTCAAATCAAATTTTAAATTTTAAATTTTGAATTAAAATAAAATTTAATATTATATTAATTTAAACTCGATCGATTACATTCTTAATTTGAATCAAAAAAATATTGTTTTTACTATAATGAAATGTAATTTGAGTTGGATCAAAGAAAACTATCAAATCGACAAATGGTTGATTCCCGTGGTAAAGATATTGTATTCATTTTTTGTTTTCTGAATTCAATTTCGTTGAGAGACAAAAAAAAAAAAAATTTTAATAAATTCACTAAATTCAACGTAAATAAATCTACTTAAATAACCGATCCGTAAAGAAATGTTAGAGCGAAAACTGATACGTGGCTATGATTTCGAAAGCTCCCTTCCCCTCCTCTAATGAAATGAACATTACATTTCTTTTTTTATTTTATTCCAACACGAGTATGACGTTGTATGATACAGATTGGCTTAGGACAAGCTAACAATTTCTCATTTTTGTTCTTTTAATCCTACAAAAAAAAGGGTACGAAAATTGAGAACAATACAAACCTAGGGACCTATGTCTCCACTTGAAAGCAGTGGAGCAAATACATTGGATACATGAATTTGTATTTGTATAGATTCTATATGCAACAGATCAGAGAAAGGAAGATCCAATGGAGACCAAAACAAAATGTTTCTGTTTATGCAGGTGAACTTGCTTGTCCATCTGAGCTGTGCTTGGTCTGTTGTTTGTTATCATTACTGTTCTTTCTCTTCAGTTTCTCCTTGATCTCTGCTTCTTTCCTATCTATAAAGTCCATTATTTTCTTACTTGTTGAGCTGATGGAGGAGCGCCTTGATGACGTAGATGGTTCGATCTGCTCGACCTCCCCTTCTACGTCTTCGGGGCTATATCTGCGGTACTGAGTACAGACTCTATAGCAGAACACAATGAGAGCCAAGACGCATGCAGTGCCACAAATGAGGAATAGGCCCCAAAAGCTGCTTAGGGAGAGTTGGTTTTCATCGATTTGATTGATTTGCATTGAGCAATCGCTGTGTGTCAGCCACTTATCATGGATCTTTTGGAGATCACCATTTTCGGAGAGTTGAAGGATAGCAGTCGACAGATCAGCTGCGAGTGGGGAGTCCCTTTGGAAAGCCTGAAACCAGGAAAAAAAATCACCACCATGATCATATGTAGGAAAAGAAAATTAGAGTTGCAATGCCATACATCAGCCTAGAAGGTTCAATGTTGATACTTACAAAGCCCCATCCGCTCTTTGTAAATTCTTGCCCCACTGTCCTGTATAAACAATTGGTGTTGGATAAGAAGAGCTCAACATAAGGAAGCTCATCAACAATAGCAGCTACACCACCCTTATTCGGTCCAAGAGTAAGGGCTCTGAGATAATCTTCAGGATTTTTTAACTTAACTAACCTAGATTCTGCTATATTGAGCTCGTCGATCAAATAGTTAAATGAAAACGAACCATCTTGGATTCCAATAGGCTCAGTACTTGAGATCAAGCTATCAATCCCATGAATCCCAGATGTCAGCTGTTGCACAGTAAGTATCGATGTCAAACTAGCAGTATAGCTTGAATTGATAATCAGAACTACAAATAGCCATATGATCAGCACCAAACGTCCCAAAGTGCTCACGGTGTTTTCCCCTGTACCAAGTCAAAGCATGAAAGATTTTATGAGTTTCTAGCCTGGATTTCCTGAAGCATTACATATAATAACATAAACAGAAGCCATAAGGGACTACAATGATTTACTTACTGTGCGAGAAAAACATTGTCGAGAAGCTAAACCTGAAATTAGGAAAAAAAAATCAATATAATTACTACTATATTCTTCTAGTGAGTTAATAAGAAAGATCTCTAATTGCACTGACCATGCAAATTTCATTATGAACCAGAGCCTCGGGTTCCAGCCCCAGCTAACATGTATGGAACCATGACACACAATGCAGAGTTAAAAAGCTTACTCTCATAAAGATTTCAGCTTGATTATGCTCTATAGCACCATGGTTTTTGCAACATGACATTGTACTTTATAGGTTAGATCTAACGTGTCAAGGGATGACAAATGCACCCATTATCTTCCAATTAAATATATAGCAGCCATATATTAAATGGACTAACCAAAAAATTGTCATAAGTTGTTGGCTGGGAGGACCACGAAATTCATGATTTAACCGGTGCTCAAGAATCCACACTACAAATCCCACAAGAAGAAAGAATGCAGCAGTAACAAGCCACATTTCTTTAGTAAATGGCTTGAGGAATGCCCAAGGATTTGACTTTTCCTCTTTGACTGGTGCAACAACAACAAGTCCAGATTCCATAAAAGGCTGTGTAAAATCTACAATTTTTGTCCTGTTCGTAACAATGGTAATATCTCCAACAGCTGCATCATATTTCTAAATAGGAAAGGAGCAAGTCAAAATAGTTACTAGCACCTCAATATTGAGCAGGGAAATGAAAGCCCCAAACCATCCCACAAAATCAGATAACATAATCCAAAGGACTACCAGCTAAGCTACACCAGTTAACAATAAAACAAAATTAAAGCTGATACTCACATTTTGGGCAACCTGGTTAATGAGGTCATTATAGATGGGATTTCTTTTACCATCTCCAACTAACATATATCTGTGAGGAACAGCATATGGAAGCAAGCTTATTGCAGCTTCAAAGACATCAATGCAGTATCCTTTTACACCCTGAGGACTGTTGTCTTTCGACACAAACACTTTATAGCCTACTCGGTTGGGTACAGCAATTTGCAGTGGCTGCCCATTGTTAGGGAATACCCATCCCCTTGGTCTTACAGTATTTTCACCAGGCCATATTACACTGTAAAGATGTTGGCTGCCAGTAGAGATATTGGGAGGCTTTGTATACATGCTCTCTGGGGGAACAATTGAGAGATGAGAATAATTTGACCAATAACCAATTCTTCGAGTTCCGGTTCCAACAACATTAAGAACATCATATGCTGGATGAACTAAATGTTTATCCGGAGTATAGTGAATCTGACCGCTCAGACCAGTGAAGTTCATCCTAAGAAGTGTCTGCAGAAGTTGCTCACCTCCATTAAACACACGAAGTGATTCTAGGTGCAGCATGCTGCCATTTGTATCATGCAAATTTGGGTCATAAGAGAAAGATAAATTTCCACCTTCTTTGAGAAAAAAGTCAAGGGCATGTGCAGCCAACCAAACAGAATCATAAGCATAAAGTGCATAAGAATTGAAACCTGCAGGACCTGCACTTCTCTTATATTTTAGGTTGTTCCACCTAGACCTAAATCTCTTTTTGAGATAAGTATCCGGGGTGTAATGGCGGAGAGCAATAACCCCTTGCAAGATATTCATTGTGTCAGGATCAACTGCTTCCATTGAATCTAAGTATGAAGGAAGCCAATCTGTAGCAATCCAAACATAGCCACCACCCATCATATTAAGAGCCTTGGCAGCAGAAAAGATACTTAAACCGGTGTCAGGAGTAACATGAACTACAAAAACTCGTGACTCCATCAGGTTGACCTCAACTAGTAAGTCCTTGATCTTATTTTGGGGGTCTCCAGGGCTGAAGGCGGCCTTATAAGAAATCTTGGCACGTTTCTTGGCAAGGGCATCACCCAAAACAGAAATCCCACTTCTTCCATAATCATCATCAACAAATATTGCTATTACCTCTCTCCAGGTATAATAGTCAACTACATCAGCAATTGCATGCATCTGGAAGTAGTCGCTGTGTGTAGTACGGAGGAAATATGGGTACTGCAGGGAAGAAAGAGTGGGATCTGTAGCTCCAAATGAGAGAAGAGGGACATGAAGCTCATTAACAACATGGGAGATGACATGAGCTATTCCAGAAGATTGTGGACCAATTGCAACAACAATATCACTTTCCATCAGCTGCAAAGCTACACAAACAAGGACAACAGATTAAATTGTTATGTTTCTAGCTGATTTTAGTATTTTTCAGCCATTCTATTTTGCAGGACACTTACATATGCAACAATGCAAATTGTACTAGGTATTAGATACCAGTGCATTGTGTTGTTCCCTAGTAAAAGAAGCAAATAGGTTTGCAGATCTCCGATTCATCTAGATTGTGAGTTAAATAATGTTTGTTCCTGGCGTGGCACTATGCCAGGGGAAGTAGTTTCTGATGTAATCACTATCAAAAGAAGTTATTAAAAAAATTAGCAGTGACCTAATAGATTTCTAAATTACAATAGCCCACAACTTATCAGACTTTTTGGAGGCACAAAATGTAACTGCAGATTTGCAACATACAAAAATTAACATTGTTGAATAAACATAAGCATATAGATTAGAGCACTTGAGCAGGAGATCAACTGAACCAAATGTAACAGACAAAAAGGTACTCTTACCCAATGCTCATACTCTCAAGAAATTACTATATACATCTCTCTGAGATCAAGACAACAGCACACAGCCTAATTTGTAATTTAAGCTATTAATGCAAATTAATGGAGTTCGAGGACAAGCAAAGTCCGCTATATGTCATAACAACTACAATCCTTAAGAAACATTAGCGATTATATTGAAGTTAATACTGTAAAAAATGGCATCAGATAAGGCACATACAACCTAAAGCCTTGCCCTTCTAATCGTAGCATTGCTTGACATTGATTCTGAATATACCATCAAATGGAAAAGGAAAAGCAGAAAGATACCCAACACAAAGAAAAGAGCCATTGGTTTCATTATCACAACTTCACCCGTTAGAAGATACTGATTTTCTGTCTAAAAACAGTTCGGTTTAATTTCTTAAAAGATGCATTCTATTCAGGAATGTCAACAGACAAAAACTTGTTGAAGATCGATTCAAATTGCAGGGTACAAGAAAATACCTGCCATGGTTCCAATAAATCCACTGCAATTTGTATCAAACAAAAGAAGTTTCAATTCTATCCCATGAAGAATGCTTGGATCAGAGTTGACATCATCAATAGCAGCTTGAAGTGCTGGCTTTGCTGCTCCACCAATAACTGAATTCAACGTGAACAGAGATCCAATTTTTATAACGTTTGGCTTCAAAGAAGATGACGAAGAAGAAGACCCTGAGGAAACTGATGCATTTCCAGTACTGCAGACAACTCCTAAAGGGACCCACAAGAACCAAAGACTCAACAAAATCAAAGTTCTTGTCATGAATCTTGAAATCAACAAGTCCTCTTCGATGGCTTCCAAAACAAATACTTGTAGTTGAAACCAGACCAACTATTTTCTGCCTCAAATTATCATGAACTCAAGATACCAAGCACCAGCTGCCAACAAACGTAAGCAAAAACATGAACAGCAGGAATCAAGAAGAAATTCATACAATTCTGAGGATGAAACCAACATGGGGTTTTACTAAAATTGTCAATAAAAACAAGGGTGAAAAGAACGGCTGTAGGCTTTTTTCCCAGACTCCAAATGACTAACCAAAAAAATCCAAAAAAACCCAAGCTTTTTAACACTTACAGGGTTCAAAGCCCACATGCCATGGTTTGTTAGACAGCCAAAAATATTAATAAAACCAAGGTATATTCATAAAAACAAAACTTAGGTTTAACATAATTTTATTATATTGGCTTTGTCTCGTCGATGATGAAAAGAAAACAGTAGAATTTAATAATATACAAGTGCTCAAACTGTCAGGGAAAACCTCTACATGCAAAGCTAATGAGCAAAGAAAAACAATATAAAAAAGGGAAGCAGATATTGCTGGTTGCATCACCTTGACGAAAGTGTTCTTAAAGGCTTTAAAAAATTTGGGGTAAGGGATTTTGAACAGCCAAGTAGGATGTGTTCAGTTGAAACAACTTGACAGTTCATATACTCAAAGCTTCACAACAGTGTTACAGGCTTAAGCAAGGCATATGATTCCCTGCCTGGCTGTCCCATTTTATTAATTTCTGTGTCCCCGGCTGGCAGCTCCACCTTGCAAATTCCAAGCCTTTCCTTTTTCTTTTATTTATTTATTAGTCTTAGCCTTTTGTCTACTTCTAGTTACAGTTAAAGCTTTTTGTTGAATTCTTTATAAAAGTAAAATTATTATGAGTATGATACATAATATTGATTAACATCAGTGGTTCACGTCAGGCCATGGCTGTAAACCTCATCTGATCGTATGATTGATATTTTTTTTATAATTAAAATTTTAGGTGAAGAGAGATTATTTTGTTTCAGTATTGGATTTACAAATTTTTTTTCAATAATTAGTAAATTTTAAATCTTAATTTTCCAAATTAAATATTTTTTTGAAATTTTTACTTTATTTTTTAATATTACGTGTATAAATTTTTTAAAATTTACAATCTTCAAATATTAATAATAATTTTATGTCAATTCATTTGAACGTTAATCGACTTAGAAGTTAAAAATTCAATCTTTAATAGTCGAAGATCTTGTTTATAAAATAAGCTTTTTCCTTTTTTTTTAAATATGAAAAATAGAAATAAGGGTTTAAAAGTAAAAAAAAAAAATGTGTTACACAGATTATTCGAATAGTTATATTTTATGCTTTTTCATTTTTTTTTGAAAGAAGAAATTAAAAAAACTTTAAAAAATGATTGATTCTAGTAATAAGTTTATCCCTTTCATTATTGAGTGGTCCAATTTAATTGTAATCCCCCAACGAAAAAAATCAAGGTAAAAATATTTTACTCCGGTATTGGCTGCAATTGATTGGATGATCTATTTTTTAGGGGGGCTTCCCATTGGCCAATCAAAATCTAGCCAAGTTTTTTTCATAAAAAAAAATAATAATTGAAAAGAAAATAATTGTGATTATTTTGTGGGGGCTCTGGTGGGTCCAAACTTTTAATTGTGTGAAACATGTGGGGTTTTGAGGTGTTTGGGTGGGAATTTTTGCATAAATTAAAAAAATATATATTGACTGAAAATAAAATTGACTAAATGGGATCTTTTTTAAGGGGAAAAATGTTTTTTTTTTTTACTTACATCTTCTATGATTTTTTTTTTTCATTTATAACCCTGAAATCTACTTTCATTATTAGAAGGGGATATCAATATTAAAAATAAAAATGAAGATAATTTTATAATTTTATTAAAATTTGATTGATTTTTTACGTTGTTACCTTCTTTGTTAATAAAAATAAATCACAAAATTAAAAATAAAAAAATTTGTCACTAAGTGTAAATGGAAACATTATAAATCATAGATGGTAAATTGTGAAATTTACCCTTTTTTACATTTTAAAGATATTTTTAGATTTTATATGAATTTAAATAATTATATATTCAAATTTATTTTTAAAATATTTTTTTACAAAAATTAAACCCAAATTAGGGTTTTGGGTTCTTTACTTGTGAAATACGTACTATTCTGCTGATGGCCCACGATAATTTTAAACGTATATCTTTCATTGTCACAAAAGAATTTGGTTTTGGTTTCACGTGGAGAATCTCTTTAAACGTAGACAAAAAATCAACCGATTAAAAACCCTAACCCAATTTTATTATTTGCAATTTGCAACTTGCAACTTGGAAATTGGAAATTTGAAATTAGAAACCCCAATTTAAAATTAAACCTAACAAAAAATTACATGAAACCCACGTTTATAATTGATAAATCTTTATATAAATATTCATCATAATTAGCTAATAGTATGATTATAGTAAAAAAAATTGCAGATGAAATGTTTGTAATAACTATTCTATCTATTTCATAAATATTGTTCTAATTTAATTTTATTGGTCAAAATTTTTTCAACTTTGCCTTTATTTATTTTAAATATATTGATAATCAAAATATAAAAAATTATTTTTCAATAACTTTAAATGAAGATGTTTTCAAATATATTTTTATAAAATATTTTAATAAAATATATTAACATACAAATGATCAAAATTTATATGATTTTTATTATTTAACAAGGATAATGATTTTTTATTATTACATTTTAGGGCTTTTGATCAAAAAGAAATGGACAAAAAAACCTACAAGAAAATCAAACTAAGATTCTGTTTTTGGGACGTCATTAGATTCTGAGTCAATCGTCAATTTGCAAACAACCATATCAAGGAAAATTCCAAGAAAAATGACATTAAACATCAAGTTACCCTAGTTTTCCCTTGGCAGGCGACAAATATAAACAATGCACGTAGGGTCCATGCATAGCTAAAGTCTTAAAGTTTATTTTGTTCTTCAAACCCTACCTCTCCTTCCATGATCTATCCATTTTTTTATTTACTATTATATATATATATATATATATTAAAATTATATCCGTGCTTTGTTACGAGATAAATTTTGTTTTAAATTTCTTTTTTAAATTATTAATATATTTAAATATATATTAATATCATTATAATCACATTTTGTTTATAATTAATGATAATTTTAATAAAAAGAAAGAGTTAACCTTCCATTAATTATGTCAACGTTTGTGATCACCTGTGTTTGACTATAGGCAAACCTCAAAATTCCATCTTCCTTGCGTTGATTCCATGTTTAGAAATGCATGTGCAAATCGTGTTTTATTTTAGCTGTGGTAGGCATTTTCCCATATTCCGGCCAAGACTTTTCAATCAAATATTTGTATTTTAATTTGGTACAAACTAGAGATGACGGGTGAAACAAGTTTTTATTCTCCTCAAATTCAACACGATTTTATATATTAACTACTTAAATTTGATCCGTTTTGATTTTAAAGTATTATTTTTATATCCGATCTAATTTGTATATGTGTAAAATCGTAATCGATTGGATCCGAAATTTATAAAATAATATTTTTAATATAAAATATTATTTTTTAAATATAAATATAAAATTAAATAAATATATATAAATATAAATAAAATAAATAATTAAAAATATTATACATATACCATAACGGGGAGGGTGGGTTTGCACCCAACCCTGACGTTTATTTTATTTTATTTTTTTCAAAAAATTCGACTCGAAATCTAATTTTTATTTTAAAGATCTTATAAGTTTAGTTCGGATTAGATTGTCAACATTAATACAAACTAAAACATAATTTGAAATATAAATAATTGAAAGCATTGATATTCTAAATTTAAACTTGTCAATTCATGAATTAATTGAATTAAAAAAATTTAAAAAACACTCATTAATAATTAAATATTTTTAAATTTTATATTAAGTAAATATATTTTTTCAATACATTAAAATTATCATATTAATTATTGATTGTTGTATTTAATACAAAATATCAATATAAAAACTATTTTAATAAATCTTAAAAATTTGTCTTAGGAGCATTTGTTAACAAAATCTTATAAACTTATTTTTTTTTATTCTCTCAATCTTTAAAAGCCAAACGCTAAGATAATTCTTTTTAACCGTTAAAATTTTAGGAAATTTGTAGTTATTGAAAGGGAAAAATAAATAAAATGCTATAGAGACTTAAATTTATTCTCTCAATTTTATTGTTATTGAAAGGAATTTTATTCTCTCAATTTTAGGAATTTTGTAGTTATTGAAAGGGAAAAAAATAAAATGATATTTAAATTTTTTTTAAAAAAATAGCATTTTCATGCATTAATCTCATTAAATTCAAGAACAAGTATTGCATTAATTATATATATATATATATATTTAAATATCACTTTAACCATATTTTAGTTTAATTTATTTTACAGAAAATATGGTAATTCGAGGATAAAAAAATTTATAACAGAAACTTAAATTTAAAATTTAAATTTATTGAATATCAAATAATTTCATGAACCATTTGAATGAAATTCCATTCAAATTTTCTCTAAATTTAATTAGCATCAAACTTTCCAAATCAAAAGAAAAAAAAAGAAGACAAGTTTTACAGGTCAAAATTCAACAAAAATCAACACCAAAATATACATTAAGTCAAACACCGCGTCTACGTTACTCATTGGACAGATCATTTTTTTCTACTTCCCCATAACTTAAAGTCTTCTAAATTCTCAATCTATTTATGTTAATGTAATATTAATATAATTATATAATCAAATGTAATATTAAAAAGGATAAATCTCATTTACATGTCCTGTGATTTATAGCTTTTTCAGTTACATCCCTATGAAAATTTTATTCTCACTTATAATTTTGTAATTCATAAGACAACGACATCATAAATAAAAGTAATCTTATAATTTCATTAAAATTTAATTATTTTTTTATATCATTACCCTTTTTAATATCAGAAATCATAAAACCACGTAAGGTGTACGTGGAGTTAACTTCATTAAAAATTATAATATTTTAATTAAAATAATATTAAAAATTACATAAATTACGATATAATTATTTAAAGCAATGGGCTCCCACTCTTTATTTTGTTCTGAGGGAAGTGATAACTGGTACCACTCGTAACTCAGTCGTTGACTCATGTAGCGTAAAATATGAAGTCGACCAGTCTTCTTACATTAAATTCGTGTAGTACAAAATAATGACTGAAAATTTTAATATTGTTCGTGACTTGACAATGTCATAAGCTTTTCGTACAAAATTTACCAAGTATTGGTTGAATTCTAGTCGTACCAATAAATAAAAATTCAATCATATTCCGTCACGTGTAACTTTTTAATTTTTTTTTTAAATCAAGGTTGAAAATCTTAAATATAATAATTAAAAGTGATATATTTAATTCAATCATTCTTATTAAACGAAAATTTTATCATTTAATTACATTAATTTTATATTTTTATTACCTATTTATATTTAGTTTTGGTAAAAAAAACTCAATTTACTACTTAATTTTTTTAAATTACATGTGAAGTGTTAATTATAATTTATTTTAGATAAAAATACTTTATTCTTTATTAATTAAAAGAAGAAAAGGACACAAAAAACTTTTAGTTGAATTGCAGCCTTATCGGCCAATTAAATGTCATTTAAGTTTGACAAAGACGTGAATTGAATAAGGTGAAGTAAAAAATATTTAGATAAAAAAGAATAAGAAAATAGTATTGTAATTACTA